GATCTTGTTTGGGGAATGGAGAGTAGAACACTTGGACACAAAACACTAGTAGTTGTTCTTTGTTTATTATGCATCGCTCATGTGAAACAGGAAAAAATTCACAAGCTTGTGTACAGTATCATACATCTATTACGAGGAGGCCGGAAACAACATGATATACAGCATCAATTGTCAGGAATTGAAACATCTTAAAACTTGGCTCAGTCTTCTACAGTACAGCTGCACATTACTTTCATGTTATTACACAGGTCAGCTCTTAAAAATTGCATCAATAGACTTCATTTTACAAAACAAAAAAATTATCAATTCTTAAAATTGAAGAAAGAAAAAACACTACGAATTGCATACAATGGACATCTGTCTTCATCGTACTGACCTGATTGTTAGTGGTAGTTTCATTTACAATGTGAAGCACCAGTTGGAGTAAGAAATAAGAATCAGCTTTTATCTTACATGTAACGGTATATTTTTCTGTACAAGCATACATCCCATTGACATATTTGGATTGCTTTATAATCAGAATGATTACCAAAACAATGCAAATAAAACAGCTCTTAATTCTCAGGTGCTTTCCTGGAATGTTTCTACGTGTTCTGGGGGCACATTCAGCTGAGGATCCCTTACCTCTCTATTACAACAGATATACATGTATGTGGAAGGAATAGAAGTAGTGCTAAGTTACCTATGAGACCTTCCTGTCATACAAATGACAAAGTAGGCATGCAGCAGACACATAGCATTCCTTAAAGGCATCAGCTAATTTACCATTGTATACAAAATCAACAACACACGTTATAAGACTTGTGGCATGTTGTCATTTTCTTCTTCTGGCAAAATGCATATACAGTATAATATTAATATTTCTTGCTTGTTCATGAGTGCTTGAATGTCAGACTGAGCTGAAACAATTATCCTTAAGAAGCTGGCACCATCATGTGTGTGCTGCCAGGTTTTCAACATACAGCTCTATAGGAGCATACAAACATTATACAAATTGACGAAAACATCCATGGTGTGAAGTCAACAACAATGCAACCCTAGAAGTCACCAGTAGGTTAACAAGTCACTTGTCTGAGAAACCTGTGTCTGAGCAGAGTAACACTGTATGCAAAGGGAAAATTGAAGTGTCTTTTCCTGAATTTTCATGAGGAATATGGAGAAGGTTCAGTCTTATTGATTTTACTACAAATCACAGTCAATCATCAGCTCTCCCTCAAAGTCATCCAGGTCATCATCCTGGACTTTGGGTACCTCTGCTGCCTCCTGCTTCACCATCTGTTCAGGCTCTTCAGCTGAGTTTGCTTCACCTTTCTTATTTACACGGGATTTCTTTGCTGCTCCCTTTGCCTTACCAACCTGTTTCTTGAGTGGTTTGCCCCCTTTCCCTGAGGTTCCATTTTGTACTTTCTGCTTAGGTTTACGCCTCGGTTTCTTAACTGTGCCCTCTTCGGTAGGGAGTTTGTCCTGACTTTTCTTCTTTGGTTGACTGTTCTGTTGTTTTTGTGGTGCACTATCTGCACTATCGTCATCTTCAGACTCAGCTTTTGTGGTTAGAGCCTTCTTTTGCTTCTCTTCCAGTGCTTGGAGGCTTTCTTGCACTTCCTCTGCTGTGTGCTCATGGCAGATCATTTTTCCTGACGGATGTTTGCTGATGTTGTCGTCAGTGCCATGCTCCTTACAGAAGGAGTTTGGGCAGACGTCACAGAGGACAGTGGCCAACTTCCCACACACATCGCAGTGGTGCCAAGGACACTCCCACTTCCCTACAATAGAAAAGAGAAACATGTGAGGAAAGCGCAAAACAAATTATGCAGAAAAGACAATACTGCAAATCTAGAAATAATGTTGATACATGTACATCTTTAGTCTGTGACTTCAGGATTGATAGTGACATGGATAAAATGTCATCAGCCAAAATATGATTGTGAATTATGCTGTTGCTAACACCAGTCATACTAATATCAGTCATACCAAATCTTAAAGTAGTCCCAAAGTATTTTTTGGGTTGTAGGGGCAATGGGTTGTTAAATTATTAAGATCTCCTTCCACTGACTTTGACCTAATATTAGTAACAAACAAAAGTACGATTTTAGACCTGGGTGGAGTGAGGAAAGTCATGTTAAGGACACTACGTCTAGCCAGTAATCGAACCCACCACCTCTCAATCTTGTGTCTACTCGCCTTAGCCACTCAGTCATTCAACACCACACAACACGAAATCTTCAGGTCCTGTAAAACAAAACCTGTCCCTACCATGTGGGGGTTTTGTCAGGTTCAAGCAGGTCACATGATAAGCCTTTGGGCAGGTCTTCCGATCACACATGACCAGCTCTCCGCCTTCGCTGCAGCGGAAACACTCGTCTTCGTGCTCCTTCTTCACGTTCTTCGGGGCCACCTTCCGCTTCCGCTGCTTCTTCTTGGCATTCTTAGATCGCTCCTCTGCCGCGGCTGCTGCTGCTGTCTGTAAAAGAAATAAAAGTTTACCAGAACTTACCCATAACAAGGCACAGAAAACACAATGTTGTGAAGTCTCTAAACTTATTTTTGACTTTCCATTCTACTCAACTTAGAAGTTAAATATATATATATACTTGACTCATCATCCTACACTCAAAAGAACAGAGCTGCCAAAGACACATTTTCCATTCACAAAATTACCTTAATTATGACCAACAAGATTTTTAGAGGTAAGAAAAAAAAGTACTTCAGAAGGATGTTACCAGTTTTTTTAACTATGGCTATGAAACAAACTAGTCAGGGATAACCCTGACATACCTTAGGTCTCACACCGATGTACCCACTGCAGATTGGGGCACCACAGTTACAGGGAGTTTTCTCGTTGCCAAGACAGTCCAGGTTGTAGTTAAAAGTCAGTTCTGAACCTAATGGAAAGAAAAATGCTCGAGACATGACATTTCCTTGCATCACATACAACAATACTGTACATGAAATGTTTCTCTTCCTGCTTCTTAACAATGAGTCAACATTCTAAATGTCAACAGTAAGTCAATATACTGAAAAAAACAAGAGAGTTGGAACTGAGTGGCCAGATTAAACTGCACTCCTTGCAGCCCTCAAATTGACCCTAGATGCTTGATAATGTCACTAAAATTATTTATTTATGCAAACATCATCAACATTGCAACATGTCAGACTTTCTGCAGTTCAAGAGAAATATTTTCTGCCATTCCACTTTAGTCCTTTACTTGTGTTTTGGCAGTTGTAAACAAAAAGCAAAGTGTGCCACTTACCTGTAGGAATATCATCCATGGCAAAAAGACCCACTCTAATGTCTCCATTCACCATCCACTTCTGTGTCTCACAGTTGGGTTGGCAGCTACAGGAGGGGGAAAAAGTTTATTTCAAGCAAGGCTTAAAGCTTGGGAGGTACACAGGTGTACCTAGCCTAAAGCTTTAGGTGCATAGAAAAAATTTTCTGTGCATACTATAAGCCATAACATCCACTCTGATTCCACCCTATTTTCTTCCATGCTGTCAGTCAGTGGTTACACCATTTCCCTCCTCACGACCTGTGACCCTACTGTATTCAAATTTACTACAGACACACAAGCAAGCAATAAACACAATGAAAACAAAACTTCCATGTTACATGGAAGTAAAAAAAGAGGCCGACAGTACCTATGGTTCATGAAGCGGGACATGTTGGCTTTTGGCCCTGCGTCGATGATCCTGTTCTTGTCCAGAGTCAGCATGTAGAAGTTGGTCACGTTGTCCTCGTGTGCCTTCTTAATGCGGCGCTGGACCTCCTCCTCATCAATCAGCTCCCCGATGTACTCATACACAAAGTCATGCTGAGACAAAATGGGAATAACGCAAGTCCTTACACATTTGTCATCGTTACTAACTTGTCATAAAACATGTTTTTCCTGTCTGATATATTTACACTACAACACTGCTTTGATCATGTACTAAGTACAACATAAACAAAGCAATGCAGCTGAAAACATTCTTACCTGACCCCTCAATCCATTTGTGTTTTAAATTTTGTTGCTTATTTCGCTGCTATCTTTCCATGCTAGAGGCATGTGTTGCAAAGGCAACAGGAAGTAACTATTCCTACCACTACCCCAATAGCACTAGGAGTGGATTATCCTGGAATAATATATAGGATATTACCTTTTTGATATCTACCAGAGTCTTGAGTCCCCATCCCCTCCCATCCGGAGTCTTGAAGGACTCCACCTGAGGGTACTGCCTCTTGACAAATCTCTGGTTCTGGCACTTCTCTCCCACAGGACAGCCGGCGGGGTGGCACTCGATCATCAGGTTCCTGTTCAGACAGTCCGACTCCGGACCGCACGGGTTCTCATCCGTCAGCTTGCACTCGCAGCGCTGGATCTCCGAGGGGTCGGCCGTGTAGATCTGCACACTCCCAACAGGCCTGTTCGTCTGGATATGGTGGAGAGATGACAATGATCAACTGCTCTCGATACATACAGTCATACTGGGTGCAAGAAAACCACTGATAAAATGTGGACAGGTGGTCACTATAAAAAGATTTCTTAATGATCATGTCAATGGGAAAAAATTATCTAAGGGACCACCAAAAAGTGAAAACATTGGCCAGGTGCTGCTGATGTAGAGGTGGTCACTTGTACAGATCTGACTGTACTTCCATACCCTCACCAGGAAGCATCACCAAGTCTGTGCATCTTGCTCAGTGTGAAGTAAAGAATTATGCATCATACCCAGTTCAGGGGATTGACAGATATTCATACATCATTGCAAATATGTCTCTTAAGTCTTTCCCATTTTACAAAACATTCTTCAACATTGTATTAGATTTTCATGAATACACGAAGGCTCAAACAAACAAAAGGGTTACTGTTAATCTTGTGCCATTCAACAACAACGTGCATCTCTCTTTTTGCCCTTAAATCTTTCCCATATCGATCTTGCCTTTATCATCTTGAAGGGAGGAGGTTTCTTCCCGATGCGCTGACTTTCCTGTGCCTCCTTCTGTTCCCTCTGAGTCTGCAGGTACTTGAACCGTTCGGTGGCTTCCACCACACCTAAAAAACAGGACAAGCATTTCTCATGTGAGTTCTCAATGCTTCTATTTGTCACCAATACCTTTGTTTGAATACTCAAAGGAATTGCATTAAAATTTGAAGGACATCACTCATACATTAGTATTATCAAGACAGTTAAAAAATGTTAAACCTTTTTTGAAGACTTTGGCTATTCCCTTTGAAGTTGCAGACTCCTTGCTCCCCTTGTCTCCCTCTTGGAAAGCGAAGACTCGTGCCTGGTGGGTCCAGAAGTAGTCGTTGGAGCCAAAGAAACGCACGGGGAACTCCCCCACTTGGTGAGGCATGTTGTAGATGTTCTGGGGAATTTTTGAGGGATGCTCTATTTCTGCCGGCCACCATCTGCAAAGAAACGGTTTGATTAAAACTTAATCATGTAACATAAAATTGTTTACAAATTCTAGTATCAATAGAGTGTCTGTTTGTTGAGATCCTCAGGTTCCTGAATTCCCTCATGTCTACCTCTAATTCCTGCTGGCTACAGGTCAGATTCTGAGGCCTTAACATTTACCCCATTTCCTAAATTGGACCTTTTGACCTGTCATTCTACCTGTCAATCTTCCCCCCACCCAGGTGCTGTCAACCTAAGCTATCTATACAGACGGGTATAAAACCAATAGCTCAGCCATCCAAAACAATACTTCCGAAAGTACAGTAAGAAGCCCACTAACCTGTAGGTTCCCAGTTTGACCCAGACAATCTCCTTGTACAGAGGTTTCTTCCCCAGACTGCAGTCCCGACAGAACCAGGTTCCCTCTGGCAGGTCCTCCAGACCCAGGCATGCAGGGTGGAACGCTGCCGGGCACATCTCACAACACAGCAGGTCTCCACCTGGCCAGTCAAAAAATATGAATAAATAAAGATCAAGATACATAAATAAATAATAAATATTCAACATCTACTTATATAATTCCACCAGGTCACATATATATCATATATAAATATATAAACCACCCTGAAACAATGTGTCCAAAAAGATCTCCAATAAATACAAGACCTCCCAGTAAAACGCACATGTGGCAGATGTATGTAACCCAATGTATAAATGGTACTAAAAACTGTCAACTGCAGACAGAAGTCAGTGATTTGCCAACTTGAAGATTAACACAAATTAGGCAGATTTTTTGAATTTACAACTGTTTTATTTGCCAACACAAACTGTGATGATACTATAGTAAACAAGAAGGCAATAGTGATGACCTGGATGACAATCTTAATGGTTCATACAATATGACAAGCTGTCAATATAGAAGTAAGGTAAGGGAATCATTAGAAAATTAATCATTTGCAACTTTTAAAAGGAAGTCCAACCTTAATCCATGTGCTGGCAAAATTTCTTACACCTTATCACTAAAGCCTTGCTGTTACCATAGTACCACAGTGCTGATGCGTATAGCTCAATTTTATGTATTTTTTATACTTCTTCAATCTAAAAAATCACAGCACAGCAACACAACAAACAAGTGCACAACACAATCTTCTTGTGATGTAAGCCAAAAAGAGTCGGGCTTCTAGCTTCTATGTCAAACAAGAGCAAGCAAATGCATTTCACTTTCCCTTCAGACACTTTCAAGGTCAAAACCATTTTGAGAAGTCTCAGTAGGTAGAGGTAAGCTTTCTCATTTTGTAGTAGTTTGTTTTTACCCAGCCATGTAGAGGTAGAATGGTTTTCCAGAACTCAAAATACTGGGCAGTTTTGTGCACCAAAAAAAATTGGAGCTGTGACCTGTGCACTTAATTTTTGACTTTCTGACATTCTCCTTTACATTATGTTTTGCACCAAAATTTTTAGGCTACGTACAGCAGCGCACCTGTTCCCAAAAATGACTTTCAAGCCCTGGACTGGTTTACGCACCTCTGGTAACAGCAAGGCTACCCCATGTAACCCCAGCCGCAGGCAAATGTTGCTGCAAAAGGTAGGAGCCCCCTGCGGTTTTCGTCCGTGTCAGAAATGCCAGAGCTTCCGACCAGCTCATCAGAGCACAGTGATTCTCCACCTGTTCATGAGACAGGTATGATGTCACTTTTTTGGGTCGCAAGACCAATTATTTCATGGGTTGACAGATGCCTTGTTTTGAACTGGGGAAAGTGTGACAGAGTCACTTTTAAGGACTTGATATGGCCCACAGAGTTCCCAAATAGCTAGAAGTAGGTCAGTCAGAAGGGCCAGTAGAGAGAGAAGACTCTGGAAGGTAGGGACTTTAAAAGCACCCTAGATCAGGGAAGGAACAAAAAGGAAGCATTCTACTCCAGTCTTTTTCTGAGGTGTGCATGAGTTGGGAGGATCATAGGCTATATCCTGACAGAAAGCTAATACCACACGAACTACATAGATCACCATTCTTGAATACCATGTACCTACTCTCCGGATCTACTATCAGTCTCTTTTTGAGGTGGCAAAACTGCAAGTTCTTGTCCCTGCTTCCTAGCATGTTTAAAGTACAAGGGCACATGTATATGCTCACATGTACTCTTCACAGCAATACTACAAGTGCAGTAGCATGCAGTATGTAGTTAAACACCCAGAAAGTGAACACGACATTGAGTTTTCCTCACCCTTGGAGCAAATGAAGCACCAGGACACATTGACGTGCGAGTGATGTGCTTGGTTCTTGACCGGTTGGAAGTGGTTACTGCACACAATGTTGTTCTGGGCCAGCTGAATGCAGCCGGCAGCAATGCAGCTGTCGTTCACGTGATAGGCTGTTGGACACCTCACGCACCGAGCCAGGATACGGCCTGTGGGGAAAACAACACATTGAAACACAAATACGAACATGACATTCTCTGTATTGCAACTGATTTCAAAAAAACCTTTTCACATAATCCCAAGTTGCAACTTTTCTCAGTATCAATTATCGTATGTCTACATTCTTGGTGTTGCAATGATTTTGTTAGCGAGATTTAAATGGATTTGCAAAGTTTGATTTCATTTAGTACATATACAGGTTACCATTCGAATTGAATGGGTTGAAATGTGATAGTTTACCTCTTGACTTTATTTTCTTTATGTCTCCCCCTGCAACAGCCACGCAGGTTCCACAGACATGAAGGGGGCAGCGGAAACCTTTCGCTTCAAAGACGGCGTTGGGAAACTTCCTGAGACAATCCTCGTGGTAGTACTTCCCACAGATGGGGATGGAGCAGCGTTTGGTGGTCGCCTCACTCTTGCGGCAGACAAAGCATGTATGTACACCTGGGGCATAAATGGACAAAGCTTATTACATATTTGCCGTATATCACATAGTCATGTCATGGTTTACAACCTTCACACTTCAGTATGTTTATGCTACAAACAAGGACAGTTCACAATCTTTGCCAATTCATTTTAAGATGTAGTGTAGAAAGGTGTGAGATGATTAGGTTAGCAGTTCTAACACAGATGGTATAGAATGCTAGCCTGGGTACCATCCCCAGTAGTATATTCGCAAACTCTATAACTGGGTCTGGACTTGCACACATATGTAGCGTCTGGAGTCTAAATATTCGTTCAGATTTTGAACGAGCGCGCTGATTGGTCCTACTCGTCTAAGCCCTTTTTGGGGTATGTACATATTAGGTAAGGGCCGTTCAGACGTCCGAACGGCGACGTTAGCGTCGGTTCGAACGTCCGAACGCCTTATCATCAACATGTCCGACGGCGAACCGAACGCTAAAGCGCACATGATATAGCCGTAGTCAGTCTTTCCGCGATAAATCATCAACATGGCTGACGCACAAGCCGCTCAGCTCACGGAGGTTGATGTTGACCTCGCAATCACGTCCGTTTTGGACGATTTAGACGGAATATCGTCGCTCAAAAATGAGCAAAAAGATGCATTGAATAATTTCGTTCGTGATGTTTTGGGCGTCCTACCGGTAAAAAAAAGAACGCACCGAGAAAAGGAACACTCGCGCGAAGATCTGTGTTTACAAAAAAACAAACATCACTTGAATAATGCAGGCGCGCCATTGGCCGTCGCCTCTGAGGCTCAGCCAATCAAATGAAGCCCCGCTGCTCGGGCTAGCTCATTACGTGACGTCATGACCAATCGTTTTATATGTGTGCAAGTCCAGACCCAGTTATAGAGTTTGCAAATATACTACTGGGGATGGTACCCAGGCTAATAGAATGCTAGCTAAGTTGATAATCATACCTGAGATGCACTCGTCACACTTGAATGTTCCAGTAGGCATCTGCTGCAGGCCGATACAGTCCAGGTGAAAGGCTCCACAGCACGACCCTTCACAGAGCAGCAGCTCTCCCACCTGCTCACACACCTGGCACAGGTTCTCCTTGCTGGCAGCCCACGCGCCGCGCCCGAGACCACTCGAGGAGGAGGGAGCACTGGACTCTTCTGACTCGTGGTCAGACACCTGAGAACTCAGCTCTTCCACATCTGTGTTCTGTGCTCCTTCCTGTTAGGAGGAAACGACAAATTTTTTTTTAACAATGTCACCATTTACAGATCAGTTTCAAGGACAATGTAAATAAATTTTAATTACCCTTTTTTACTTCAACAGTTGCCTGCAAAGCTGGTGTGTTACACAGAATAGCAGCTATGTTGGTTAACCAATCCGGACTGAGATTGTGAATTCAATAGGAAAGTCCTTTAAAATTGTGCACATGATGGTGCAAAACAGAGGGTGGGAAAATCATACCAAACTCTTGAACTATCCATTATCATTTACTTCTTTAAATACCTCTTTTTCTGATGCAACAGAGTTTGGCCCCACATCTTGTCCTTTGTCCTTTTTGGGTTTCCTGCCTTTCTTTATCTTCTTTTCCCTGGCTGGTTTTCCCCCTTCCTCGGCCCTTCTCTGTATTCTCTTTTTCATGGGAAGGCTTTCAAATGGGGCTGCGGGAGAGTCCACTTGGCCGGGGGTGGAAGGGTAGGAGGACTCAGCACTGTCAGACTGGGACAGGGCCAGGATGCTGTTGATGCACTGGTCTACACTGGACTTCAAGTCAGCCTCAGAAGACTAGAAGTAAAAAGTGCAACAAAAAATTGTCAGTATTCCTGTGTAAATATACATGGACCCACATCAAGGCAGAGCTTGACATATACTTTTGGGTACAAGTACACCTGACCTAAAAATCAAGGTGCACAGAATACTGGGTGTTAAAACTAAAGTAGACAAAGCTGACAAGCTTCAAAATTTTAAAACAAAGGCTGACTCTTGACCAGATTGCTACATACAACACAGCTGTGCATTTCTTTATCTACCTTTCCTGCTGTGTTTCTTTTCTTTGGTGACGAGGGCTGGCCCTTTGGGGGCACTTTCTTCTCTTGCTTGGTGGGGCTACCTGAAGTCATCTCCAGTTTACGCTTCCCACCTGAAGACAGAAGCAAAACAATGTAAAAAATGACAGTGCAAACTTTCTGTTGCTTTCCAATGTCTTTCTTTTAAACACATCATCACATTTTATAAGGGCAAAAAATTATTAGTCAATATTTTCTTTTAACTCAATACTTCATGTATCATGTTCAGATTTATTCACACATTTTAGTTCCTTCTTGTACCTACCTGGCTGGTCCATGTCACTGTCACTGGCAGAGTTCTGAGATGTGGAGGTGAACTTGCTGGTGTACTTTGCTTTAAGTTTATCTGGGAGAATGTTCCACTGCATCTGCAGTTCCTCCTGTACCTGCTCGGGGGCATAATCTGGATGGTCCACCATGACCTGCTCCCGCTGCTTCTGGCAGAACAGCTCGAACCTTGCTCGCTCCACCTCTTTCTGTTGGATAGATGGTATGTGCCAAGTCAAATACATGCTGTACTGACATTTTTAAACATCTATCAATATATAAGACCTGTATCTGCTGATACTAGAACCAGAATATGTTATATCACTTAACACTGATCTCTAACAAAAAAGTTGAAAAAGACAACTTATTGCCATACCTTCTGTGACTTGTTTCTCTTCTTAGATTCTTCTGGCTGGCTTTGTGTTGGTGTTTTCTTAACCACTTTCCTTTTCTTCTTCACTAGGTGCTCTTCTTCGTTGTCTGTGTCATCAGACTGCAAGGACACAGCACCTGCAGCTGCCACAGCAGATTTCCTCTTCCGCCCCCTTTTCTTCCCTCCTGCCGGGGTGGTAGCTGGAGGGGCTGTGTCTTCCTCAGCTGTTTCAGACGGGGCAGTGTCATACTTGAAGGTGTACTGTTGCTTCCGCTCAAGAAGTGAGAGAGGGAGGGCCTCCTCTGCTGCCTGGAGGGCCACTTCCCAAGCTGCCTTCCGAGACTGCTTCACTGCGCTTTTCTTCCTGGCTTGGTTGCGCTGTGTAGTGTTGGTGATGTGTTTGATGCTGTCTTCCAACACTTGTTCGTACTGGTCCTTACCCTCAAACTTCACTGTGCTCCTCTCACCCACCCAGCCTCGCTCTGCAACGTCCCCGAAGAACTGGAGGTGGTACAGCCTGGAGGCCCGGATGGCACCTCCTAGATAGATAGAAAAGATAGTCGGAGATGTATAGGTGTGAACTGTTACTGCCTTACTGGTAAATGGGGATGAAAAGTACTAAACTGTAGGCTAGATTTACAAATTACACAAATCTACTGCACTGCACATTAACAAAAAATATTTGTTATATACAAAACATGAACACCAATATCTATTGTATATTCAAACTTATCAGATTGCTTTTTACCTGACCTTTCGTTTCATTTACTGGTAACTTTAAATTGGTGTAGCCATAGTTGGAAAAACAGTCAGCTCAATATCCAGGTCATAAAGCTGACTTTCAGTGAGTTTCACAGAGGAACAGCACAATGCCGACCAAAATAACATGCACAACATCACATGACATCTACGCAGCAAAAAGGTCTGCCTATACCTGACCACTCTTCTTCACTATCTTCTGTAGCAGTAAGAATAAGCAGGAGAACAGCGTCAGGACAGGTGGAAATATCAGCAAAGGTCCAGAATCAGTCAGTTACACTAAAAAAATTACCTCGTGCAAGGAATTTGTGATAAAGAAGCAACTTTGCAAGCAGGACATGCTACATTGCAAATTAATATTTCCTAATTCTACTGAGAACAGAGCAATCAACTAGAAAAATGGACAAAAAGAACACTATGGAACTATCAGAGAAAACCGTGTCAAACATTAAACATCTATCTAAAAGATTTTAATGTTTAAGTTCACAAATAAGGCATGTGCAGCATGTTGCATATCTGCAATACTATGTCAAACATGCAGATACAGATAAGGCCTCTTATAATACCTTTAAACTTGGTGTATACCCCTTCCACTGGGTCATAGGCCACCATACATGGCCACCAGGGATGTCCACTCACTTTTCCCCATACCAAGTCTCCAACCAACCATTTGGGGGGCATTCTCTCTTCCAAGGCCTGTAAATTTAGAGCACCTTTCGGATGACCAGCTGCTGGTAACAAAGGAGTGCCGACATCAGGGGTTGTCAATGCAACGGCAGAACTGGGATGTTCCACTGCAGTTGGGGAGAGATCCACAGCTTTCTTTTTACGACCCCGTTTGCCTTTCTTTCCGGGCGGACTTTGCTTGCATATAACATCTTGAGTTTGATCTTCGTTATTATGCTCTCCCTGTTCCAGCAACTTCTTCTTCCGTTTCTTGCTGGGCCCAGCTTCCTCAGGGCTGCTTCCGTCAGAAAGCAAGGACGATGTTAGCTTCTCGCGACCACGTAGAAATGTCCTCTTGATCTTAAGTTTGATTTCTGGGGAACCAGACGGCCGGTCCGAGTCTGGACTGCTTTTGTCTTCTGTGGACATAGCCACATCCCCTTCTGGTTTTGAAGGGGAAACAAGTAACTCATTTTCTACATTGCTTTGCTCATCTTTTAGCGGCAATACTGTATTCTCTGCTGCATTCTCTTCATTCAGGTCACCTGGTGGAACTACAGTCTGCACCCCTGCCATGTCGTGTGCAGGGTTTGCTGCCAATGGATTCAGATTCGGATCAAAGAACGTGTCTGTAAAGTTGGCACCAGATTTGCCATCGAGTGGCAGGTCAGCTATGCTTTTTGGATGGGAGGTCGTTTGCTATTGGAGGGGTGTTCATGATGATTTCATTTGCTATTTGCTGATCTTGATGCCATAGACCATACCTAATGTCCGCTACAACTGTGTCATCTGTGAATAGATACCACAAAGCATTTGTCAATACAGTGACAGAACTACTAAAAAATATCAAATGAATAAACACTTCTATTTAAAAATTGGACATGCATCTCTCAGATATATGTCCACATACAAGTTTTACGTTGCATAATGGCATTTTCAAAATTTCAATTAACGTCATACGTGTACATTCTGATGCTTTACACCATGTAAACAAAAAGAAAACAAAGTACACTGCAAAGTACAAAGTATACTGTCCTCATACTGTTTACTAAATAGACCTGAAAACCTGTATGACTTGAAATATTTATCACATGAAATATTTATAAATGGATAATCAAGGGGGGTGTTATCTGGCTCAACTGGGACGTGAACTGCTTACTGTATTTACATAATAAAAGATGTCTGAATACCCAGAGCATGGCAGATTTTAGGGTATGAATCAGCGCATAAATTTTAAATCTTATGTCAGTTTTTCATATTTTTGTATTGTGAAATATTTTTTCCACATATTTTTCCACTTATCTGCACTGGTGCAAGTAAAATATAAAATTACCTGCCCCAGACAAATTATACCTGAAACACTGCTGGAAAAGTGGACTTAATATGAAATATGGATCATACTGGTAACTATTTATAACCCATTTTAATATTGTGGACATTTGGTTATTACATGTAAGAACAGGAACATGAAACCAAAGACATATGTTGGTCTCTCAAAGCCAAACCACAAACTTAACATTTTGTCCATTTCATAACATGGTAATGGCGCGCAGGCTACTCCCTACCAATGTTACTAAGGGTGAATCTATTTAGTACAAGGGGGATGATTTACACAAGAATGATAATCAATGATAATCCCAAGATTGGATTTAACATCTACTAACATAATTCCACCAGGTCACATATGTCTGCCACCACCAGAAAATGGTGTCTAAAGTGATCTCCAAAGCAACATTCCCCAGTGTAATGTACTCCTGTGTATACTGTGTGTTTACATGTCTGGGGGGTGCTGCACTAGATTTCTCTCACTCTCAGACATTGTGTTTCAATGTGGTAGATATGTAAACTGGCGGATCTTCTTCTTTGTGGTTAGGTGGCCAACATCAACTTGGATAAATGTGAATGGAGGTTACACTTGGAAACATTCCGCATTATTCATAAGTACATGATGATACCCTACTTCTCAAAGTGCCTCCATTCATGCAAATAGCATTGTGCTGCAGTAACACATACTCCCCAGTAGCCGTGGCGACTATTGATTCGGGCTTACATTGCATTACCCTCAGCAATAGTCGTGGAAAGATCCATTGGCAGAACTGCACATTTCCCGTTGGCTGCTCGATGCTCCGTTTTTGACCCGGTTTTTTGCTGTCCCGAGCTTCCCTACAATACTCCACAATTGGCCGGGTTGCCGATGTTTAGATCAGCCTAAATATTCCACAGCGCGACAGAAAAGTAGTAAAATAGCTAGTCGGCACAAGCTGGCGCCATCTTGGATATAGTCGGGAATGTCCGCTACCGCCGTCGGGAACGCTCGGTAGCGTCACGATTACCGAAGCCCGACCGAAAGCTCTCCGATTATAACCGGAAAGGCTACCGAGCGTTCCCGACGGCGTAGCGGACATTCCCGACTATATCCAAGACGGCGCCAGCTTGTGCCGACTAGCTATTTTACTACTTTTCTGTCGCGCTGTGGAATATTTAGGCTGATCTAAACATCGGCAACCCGACCAATTGTGGAGTTATATTGTAGGGAAGCTCGGGACAGCAAAAAACCGGGTCAAAAACGGAGCATCGAGCAGCCAACGGGAAATGTGCAGTTCTGCCAATGGATCTTTCCACGACTATTGCTGAGGGTAATGCAATGTAAGCCCGAATCAATAGTCGCCACGGCTAACTCCCCAGCAGACACACCTTGCAACAGGTAAATTATCACATGCAAATTGTACACACACAAAAATTGAATTCTTTCTAGCAGTATGATGAGTTAGCCGTGAGCTGAGTACATCTTCTGACTTCAACAGCATTACATATGTGAGGAAAATTTAAGAAATTGTAGAACTAGAAGGCTTCCTGTGAACAAGGAGCATGGTGGAGCATGGCTGCCATATTGGAAGCCAGTTCAGTGCTGCTACCCTGACCCCTGTTGCAGGCTGTCTTGTAAAAATCCTGGGCCAAATCTTCACAATAATGCCAACAGACATTACAGTTGGCTACAATCTAGTGATTCTGACATAAATTTGGGGGAGAAACTGTGAGAATCAAAAATTTGTACCTTGCAAGTCGCGTATGTGGAGTGAGAACACATCATCATGGAAGCTGTGCCATGCCCTTTCAAATAAGGCTCATTGTGTGTGCCACTTAATTCAACAAAAACTGAGCCTGGTGTACCACCAAAGAACGAGAGTTTTCAATGAATATGCTTTTAGATGATGACTACGAGCTGGGTATAATCACAACACTTAATTTTCTGCGACTTTTTTGTGCCATAATTTGTCATCAGTTCAGGTTTGCAAAAATTTGCACAGTTCTTTGCTACCATGTTTTTGGACCTCAGTCAAGGAGCTTAGCATGGTCCCTAGCCAGTCTACACAGACCAAAATCAGCAAAAATATTGCAACAGTTCATACAAATAATAACGGTCAGAAATACTGGAGAACAATAAGCGTGAGGAAGAGAGGAAATAAAAAAAATTCTCACAAAGTTTGGAGATCTTTCTTGCAGGGTTGACCCTCACAAGCCATGTTCGACTTGCCACGCTCGGCACACCTCGCTGATCGGCGCCAAAATAACTCGCGCTGATTGGTCACGAACTTCGAACTAAGCATTGGCGGAAATTACCGAAAATGTCCGAACACTCAATATCCCGCGCTATATTGGGATATTTCAATATCTTCATTTAGTAGGGGAGACAGAATTAATTTGCTTCGATAATGATCCTTCTTCTTTATGAAATCAGAAATGTTACGTCAAATAAGATATAAATCTACCTAATATTATTCTGTTTTCTATTTTTATAAATATAATATATCTTATTTTTGTCGTGATTATTTTGTGAAAACACCTTATTTAAACTTTCCCCCTTTTAACCAATGGCATTATTCACGCATGCCCAGTAGGGACGTGACCTGCGTTGACCTACCCGGCATCTAAATGATTATGTATTACTCCACACAGTAGTGAGCGGAACCATCGCGCAAATATGTCAAATTTGCTTTGTAGCAGTGGTGCTAGGCTGAGAACGATTCCTATAGCAACTCAGACATGTTGCGGAAGAGGTAGGCTCGTATATATTCTCCTTACTTAAGAAATCTCTCGTGTTTTTAAAACGTTATCGGGCCTTGCCTTGTCACCATGCGCCTACCCCTTCCCTCCCCTCAGTATTTTTTCGACTTGCCGGCCCAGATAAGAGACACTATGCAGGTGTAGCTTCACGTTCGTTTGTTTATGTTGATTAAAAGAAAAATCACTCGTGTGTTTCAATGACTGTCAGAAAGCAGTTGTTTTGTTTTATTTACTTCGACCCGTTTACTTATTTTATTGAGGCCTTCAGATCGTGACGGGCTCACATGACCTGTTTTTCGTCACCATGGGAGATGCCATCATTTAATAGCCTAAAGGGGTGTTGAAGATCAGCGATTTTTTGCGACGGATTTTCCCCCAAAATTTCGTTAAAAATTCATTACCCAGAAATTGACGTAACGATTGTCGAGGGAGTTATTTTTTTTTCTCCTATCACGAAACTAGTAACTACATAATTGACCTAGAAAATAGGTCAGGGACAGGTTCGGAAATGACGTCGGAAAATGTTAGCGTTACCTCATCAGGACAACCTTGACGAAGCAAAAATTTCTCTTATATTTCAAAGGACCAAGGTCATAGTCACCCTGTACTATGTTTATCAACTTTTTCAAGACATTTGTTGGAGAGACGTGAAATTATGACATTGAAGAGTTCAGCATTTCAGTAGACACCTACACTACAATGTAACATGTACCGTATGATGTACATAATGTCCTTGACTGTAAAGAATTGTTTCAACTTAAAACATCGCAAAAACATGCTCTCCACTCCTACCGTCAATCAGTACAATCATATATATAGTGTCAATAATTTCATATGCTGTAAATCAATTTTTGCAGAAAATGGTTGGGGGAAAAGGAGGTGTTTGCCATGTTTAAACTTTGCTGTTTGTACTGAACAAATGTTTGCAGGGTGATTATAAAATGACAGGAGAGGCTGCAGCAAAAAACAAAAACATCAAACCAATGCAAATATTTCATGATTTACAGCACCTTTCTACTCTAGATTGTTGAAGATGGGCTCCTGTCTAGTTTCTTTGAAAAATTCTCCCTGTCATCCTCTGTTTGCTGATAAGTGTTCACACCCATATACCACCTGCACCTCTTATCTCCAAGCAGATCTTTCAATGGCCACAAACAAAAGACAGTATCAAATTGGCCAGGCAGTATCCATTAACCAGACAATTTACATTGGCCACCTAATGGACACTTCTCTGGCCAATGGATACTACTTAGCCACTGTATTGGAGATTACTGTACATGTACCTTATACTAGTAATATATAGGTTCCACTACTTGGTGCACCGGTGATAAACGTAAAAGATCATGTGTTATACATTGTACCTTCATGTTACATGTTTACCAGTTATGACAAGCAAACAAATACTAGTAAACAAACAAAATTAGAAGATATGAAATCTCTAAAATGTAAGACAGTGTTATAGACCTCTATTTATTTCATAATTCAATGTTCATAAATCATATGTCCACACAATTATTCTTAATATCTACTAAGGTCCCATCCATTGTTTTTTGGTGTATGAACTGAACTGTATGATTCAAACTGTTAAAAGAATATGAATTGATAAATGAATCTGCATCTGCTCAGGCCCAATAGAGTCATGATGTAAAGATGTACATGTATTTGCATGCTCAGGTATATTTTTTGCATTTCCTTTTTTGCTGTGTAGGTATAGGTAGCAAATCTCTTCATCTCGGACAGACGACAACAAGAAGATCCAGGAAAATAAGGTACATCTTACTTTGTAATGATGTGACATAGTATATTTTATTTGATTTTGATCTTGAAAATTATACTTGTTATTCAAAGTTTGGGGTGACAACTAACCATGATATTGCAAATAATGTTTTATTTTGTTACTGCCTGTGTGAATAGTTTGTGATAAAGCATATTTGTATACAAGGTATTTGTAGACAATGACATGTCAATCTTAACATTTTGCTGGCAGGTATCATCTCCAGTCAGACCTGACCCCATGGGCTCCATTGTCCGTCGCTCGACCAATCAGCAGCAGCTTTCACAGCTTGTCTGACCGCTGGAAAGGCCACAGTGTTGGAACCTACCGCCATACAACACCAACTCCAACTCTAGTTCTTGTAAACTTTACTCCTTATGGAACTGTTCCTCAGTCTGTGTGGATCAGATACTTTCATGGCGATGTCCCACAGCAGGGAGGTAAAGCAGAGTCTAAAGTAGAACAGTCTGTCAAAGCTTTAAAAGAGAAAAAGAAACAGAAGTCTGGGGTGTCACTGTCAGAGCCTCCGTTTGTTACTTCTCCTACTGGGAAGGACTTGACTGTTCCACGGAAGTCACTATGGGTGCGGTTTGTAGAGGAAGTGAAGCACTATTACCACGGCTTCCGCCTGCTGTTCCTGGACTTCAAGGTGGCAGCACGGCTTTTCTTCAAGATGTGGAAGGGAATTTCCCTGACACGCAGGGAGTACAGACAGGTGAGTGGGAATATCTGCACTGTAAGGTGTACCTTCTCAACTTTCTTCTCATTCATTTGTATATCAGATGCTAGATTAACGGTGCACACCCCAGTTCTTGCGCGACCGGGGTCCGTGATAGTCCGTTGTAAAAAAGTGACGAAAGGGTTTTGAGGGTCCAAGTTTGAGGTGACATTTCTCATAAACTGCCACGAAGTGTCATTAAACATTAACATGGCTGAATAGTGTAGGAAGTGGTGTTTTTGGGGTGAAAATTTCTTTTGGCTCCGAACCTTACTTCCGGGTATCCTTGCGCGCCAAGTGTAATCCGCCCGTTTGACCTAGATTTCGCTCTGCGCCCTCGTAGGGGTGCATTTGCAACCCCTCGCGCCGTGGACTGTTTAGAAAATTACAGTACTAGAATTTTCTTTATAATTTACTCGAGTATAGTCAAGGCTTGGGTCTTTCTGCCAGCATCAGTCATTTCTGCCGGAAAACGTTTTTTCCGTTGATTTTACCAAACTTAAAAAGGTTGAAGTAACCAAACTCAGCAGGTCTTGTAGCTGAAGAGATATCCTTTCGTCCAATATACAGTTATTCTCATTCCGAATTATTCCACGCCAGATACGGTCGCTAGATTTGAGGGTGTGCAGCCTCCAATAGAGACGCCAAATAAACTGGGGTGTGCCCCCTTAACAGTCAGACATAAATTGATCCATAGAACAGTATTCTGCTCTTTGATATTCACATTCAGTTGCAAGTTTCTGTGTATTTGGGAATGGTGTATGCTGGATATTTCAAGCCCTTTCAAACTAATTTAGCACTGTCAAACTAACTTATGTCCAGTTCCCATGGTTTGATGTATCATGGCACATGTACTACAATTAGTACAAAGACACAGTGCACAGTTCTATGACTTCAGAAATTCTAATTCATGTTTTTGATTTTGAACCCCTGCCACAGTTCACCCGTACAGTAGCAGACCTGGGACGGATTGTACCATTCTCCTTGTTCCTCATCATTCCCATGGCAGAAATCCTCCTCCCCTTCTACGTCAAGCTCTTCCCAGGCCTCATGCCGTCCACGTTTGAAGACAAAAAGATGAAGGTACTCTTTCTACCGTCTTTATCTCTGACCTTTTATAGATGAGATGGGCTATGGGATTAGACTATAGGCTTGAGATTTCTATTCCACATAGGTTCCTCCTGGTTGTTTACCAAATGTTGTGCTGGAATTGTTACCCCAGGATGAGCGGTTGCGTAAGCAGCTGCGGACTCGCCTGGACACGGCCCGCTTCCTTCTGAAGACGATGGAAGAGTTACCGGTGGAGACCAGGAGGAGGAGTTCAGGCAGGAAGTCTGTGGAGGACTTCATACAGTTCATGGACAGGGTTAGTTATGATTGATCCATTAGGTTTTGATGTGTGTGTCTGATGAGTATATACACATTGATAATTCTGGACAGTTTGATACTTTTACTATATAGATGGTTGAAAATTTGGAAGAGTTTGAGAATACTTTAGTGTAGAGTTCCTTTTATATACGGTACCAGTCTTTTTCACCAACACTTCAGCATGTTTCAGCTGCCTCTGTCACTCAAGTCTCAAGTCCTAATGACTACTGTCATTCTTAGCAAGTTGGTGTTGGAACAAGAATGTATTCCCTAATGTAACTGAGTTTGTACCGCCTCATCTTGGTTCATGACTAGTGTCCTGATCCAAATAGCCTCCATAATCTGAAGTGACCTGGGTTTTTTTTCCAGCTGCGTCAGAGTGGTGAGCCTGCCCCTACTGAAGAGATCCTAAAGTACTCCAAGCTGTTTGAGGATGAGATGACTCTGGACAACATGGAGCATCCGTCCCTGGTGGCGTTGTGTAAGCTGCTGCAGCTCCAGCCAATCGGCACCAACAACTTCTTACGCTTCCAGCTCAGGATGAGACTCAGGACAATAAAGGCAGATGACAAGGTTGGTCCGACACATATGATGTTTAGCAAGGCAAGGTAAATAGTTGTGAAAACACATCAATGGTAAATAGAGAGAATGTATATTTACATAAAACATGACTAGAGCACGATTATGTCCCCTCAGCCAGTCAGTAGCCTACATATAGATTTCATTTGATTGTATGGATCTCCTATATCCACATAAACAGGATAAACGGGGCTGTATCTGTTGAGTTTGTTGTGACGATTGTGTTAAAATATTATCCCTTCAGATGATCCAGAGAGATGGTATCAACACACTCACAGCCAATGAGCTGCAGGTTGCCTGTCGTGCTCGTGGCATGAGAGCCCTGGGGATGTCTGAAGACAGGATGCGGTTCCAGCTGTCGCAGTGGCTGGACCTGCATCTGAACGAGGAGGTTCCCACGTCGCTCCTGCTGCTGTCCCGTGTGCTGTACCTCCCCGACAACCTGCCAGCCACTGACCAGCTCCAGGCCACGCTGTCTGTCCTGCCTGAGTCCATTGTAATGCCATGCTTTCTTTATCATTAGTTCAAGTACAAGCAGCACCAGGGCTGTCTCCAGGACCCATTCCTTTGTCCTCTGTACAGAAGTCTACTTGTTCTGACAGACAACATTTTCTCCCAGCTTCATGACATGAAAAAGTCATGAAGATTTTTGTAACCTAAAAATGACAGGTTTAACATTGAAAATTTTACCCAATTAGAATTTACTCCTCAAAAAGTGTAAAATAGCATTTCACAGGTCGAATTTCAGAATTTTTATTGAGAGCATGCCCTGGGACCTCCCTAGTTTAAAGCTGGAGACAGCCTTGTGTAAGGCACTCATTTATAATGATATCTAAATGAAGACCTAAAAAATCCTTGGAGTTAAACAATACATTTTCAGAGCAAAGAGTAGTAAAACTTTGAAATGGTGGACATTTGAAATATACTACATGTACTTCTTCAAGTCAGTTAATATTGGGAATCCTTTTTTTTTTCGATCAATTTAGGGAGTTGCAAGGATAACACGTTGCTAATATGTTGACTTTTCCAGGAAAAAACTGCTCGGTTGAAGATCGCAGAAGCAGAAGGTGCTGTGGACAACAAGACGAAGCTGGACGTGATCCGTGCTGAGGAGAAGGCCATCCAGAAGGAGCTGGAGGAGCGTAAGGCAGAGGAGATGGAGAGGCTGGAGCAGGAGAGGAAAAAGGTCAGGACTGGTATGCTTGAGATCTGGTATAAACAAGTGGGAGTAGTAGGACTTATAAAGTTTTATCTAATACCTTTCTTTGTTAGTACATGTAATAAAAACCAGTATTTCTTAAACTTCTTTTCATCACTTATTGGTACTTCAAATCGTGAGCCATTGATTAGCAACTGATTTAGAACTGTTCACAATCTGTGGGTATTACTCACAATATCATCTTATATACAAAAAGGTTATCAACAAAAATGTTAAGCAAAGAGAAACTTTTCTTTATTCTTCAGTAACGTTAGTTATTGATGATGACACTGTATCGTTTCCATCTGATATATAGGCAGAGGCTGAAGCCCAGAAGGCCCAGGAAGCTGCTGAGAAAGAACAGTTGGTGGACAATGCTCCCCCTGTTCAGACAGAAGAGCAAATTGTAGCTGAGACTATCGTGGACAAGGCTCCTGAAGTCAAGACAGAGAAGGTAATGTTGGCTGTTATCCAAAAGTTAGGTTAAGATTGTGTGATATTTGTGACAGATATTGCCAGTTCCTCTACATTTGGACTTGTATGGTGTTTTGACTAGAAAATGATGCCTTAAGTGTCTTTATCAAACATGAAAATAAGCTGGTCACAAACCGTCACATTTTCTCTTCTACATAAGGATGAAAAGGTCCTGGACACAGATCTTGAGGAGATATCAGCTGCTGTGAAGAAGCTGGCAGCTGAGAAGGACACATTGGTGACCACTTTGGAGAGAGATGAGTTCAACGACCTAAAGGAAGAGTATGAAGAATTTCGACAGGTGTGTTACCTGTGCTAATTTAATAGGTTAATATTACTTTGGAATGCTCAGGCCATTCATGATCAAAACACATAAACAGTCAAAGCTGTACAACTCACTATGTCTACATAAAGATCAAATTGCCAATGTTACCCCTTTTGCTACTCCCTTAAATAATTTTTCCCATTGACAACTGTAGAGTGTTGTCTCTTGTGTGAACAGGATGAGAAGAACCTGCACAAAGTGGCGTCCAGGACAGGAGAGCCCCTCAGCATTCCCAAGTCCACCCGCCGGCTGAAGCGTGTTGTGATGAGGATGTTTGACCGCATCGAGAACACTATCATGGAACTGGAGAACAGGAAAGAGCAGGTCAGTCGGGGTTGGATTTCTTTGCAAAGATTGTTTTCGTACCCTGTCTTCAACATTGGGTGGTTGTTTATCTAGAAGTTATGTTTGACCCCTTAGATTCAACAACTTGACAAACTCAACAGCCCTAACCACACATTGCCCTGTGTTCCCCCAGGTGGAGGTTCAATTGGAGCTGGATAAGGAGAAAGTCCAGCTGATGGAAGGTGGAGAAAACACCCCCATCCTGGACAGGATCCAGACAGAAAAGTAAGTGCTTCTGAAGACTAACAATATTTGGCAGGCATAAACTTGTATAGTAATCATCATGGTATGTATTACAGTAAGCATGGACCATGGACAAGCTTGCCACTTACTTTCACCATTATCTTCAGCTTCTAAAAACTAGAATTTCCGGATGTTTTCATCTATTGTTAATGTAGTGCACATCGTCTCAAGTGATGTGATACTTAATCATTGTTTGAATCATTGTTTCCTGACATTCTTTGTTCTTGTATCAGAGCACCAATTTAACTTATAGCAAAGGTTAACAATAATGTTTCTCACTCTGCTTGTGTTCAAGATGGTTAACTGGTTGTCAGCCCCCCACCCCAACCCCTTTACTCCTCCTTGTACCCATTCCTTGTCAAAGTCATTTGAAAGTCTACCTGTCCATTCATTTCATACATGTACAGGTATGTCAAATCAAGTGGTAGTACATTGTGCAGATGCATTTAACTACATGTATAAAAAATCATTATAGACTAACCTATATCCCTCTCAGCATGTTTTTCAATCAGTCACTTTTATAGAAGTCAGAGCTTTTTATCTTTTCCCAGATACATGTAAATCTAGGTAAGACTCACTGGATCAAAATGCATGTCCCCATGGCGTAAGTGGTTAGCGATCCTGTTGCTTTGCCGAGAGGATGAAAATCCTTGCGTGTTTAATGAGGGTTGGCCCCAGCTCAGACATGTTGTGGTCAATCTGAATATTCCTCTTTGGCAGAATGTTCTCTGTACTATGAGGGCCCAGCACCCAGTTCCTCTTTGTAGTGCTATGTGGCATGTATTGTGATATTGGTTGGAAGGCATCACAGATATGGTCACTCACCCACTCATTTCCCCACCTCATATTTTCATGTATTCCCATCACTAGTCTTCTGTCTTGTCCTCCTCTCTTTTCTCCCTTAGTTTTTCTTCTTCTTCAGATATTTCCTGAAATTGTTGTACATTGTATCTTTAATGTATAAAGTGTATTATCACCTAATACTCAGAGTCAGACAAGGGGAAAGTGGAAATTGGTGTCTTTATTGTCAGTATCTGTTGACATCTTTTGAATTGAAAAAGAATTTTCCACTGTTTCATTTTTGATGTATGTTTTTAAATACATGTATATCAAGAGATTCCACAATGTTTCTGTTTTGTACACTGTCATTGAAGTGCCATGACATCTCCAAACATGAAACTTGTATGCTACCAATAGTTTGTTTGACAGGGCTCGAAATACTTGGTTGCCCAGTTTTATTTGCACAACCATATCTTCATTGGCACAACATATTCACATGCTAGTAGGCTGTGAAATCTTTGGACAAAGACTTCAACTGTCTTGCGAGTGACCTCCCATTGAGTCTGTGTGTTTTGTAGCTATTTTTCTTGGTAACTGAACTGTGAAAATCTGAAATATTAATTTGCAACCAGGCTTTAGAGAGAATTTCAAGCCCTGTTCGACTACTGGTATGTGTTACCAGGGTACTTTGTTGCTTTGCGTTTCTGTGGACGTTTATCACCACATCTTACTACTTGTTATTCTGTACACCTCAGTATTATAAACAATTGTATTCACTCCAAACCAAGTGTGCTAGGAACTGTTTGGATGGAAGAAAGGGGAAAGGACATACATGGAACAAAAAGTTAACAAAAAAGACAAAAAAAAGAGAAAGGGAGCGTAGTGAAGATTGGAAAGGTACTGGAGAAGGCAGAACAAAGATAAGCTGTGGTGACAAAGTCAATTGCTTTGTTGCTTTAATGGTTTGCCTCATCTGTTCAGGTGCTGGGCCATCCCTTCATGTACCGCTAACCACAAGCACACCAGGTATGGCCCAAGCATGGCCACTGTTACTATTGCTTAGAGATCACTACAGGTGTATAGATTGCACGAGGGAAGTAGATGTTAAGTAGCTAATAATGCTCGAATTATCGATATATAAAGCTGTCTGTATTAACACGATGATAACCCTGTGATGTCATAGCCCATGTTTCCTGTGAGGTGCCAACATTAGCTGTCTGCTGGGAGATGAAAAGACCTAACAGAAGTGGTTGTTGAGGTTTCTCAGGTGCCAACTTTTTCATCAACGGGCAGACTGTACCTTCAAACTTTCAAATTCTTTTGTCAGAATGTTCGGTTTTCCTCCTTCTGCTAGAAAAAAATTTTTTCATGTCTACTGGTCTCCTCTTTACCTATACAACTATCTCCTGTTCCACACCTTTAAGGAAACCAATAGGAACTGCCCAAGGGATGATAGAAATTATAATGTTGTAGGTATACATGTAGATGATGGGAAGGCTTTGTTACTATGATGTTAGCTAAAGCTTGTATCCTGGTGTATGCCAGTATGGCCACTAACATACAGGTAATGAGCACTGTTTAAGTGGGTATTACTAACATAGTTTTGTTAGTTTCTTTTTTTAGCACCATGTTGCAAATGTTTGTAGCTGATGTTGAGTAATGATTTCACTTACTAAACTTCTTACCATGTCACCAAGTTAAACACAAAACTGTACCAGGTGTAACAAACCATTTATGTGAACTCCCAGGGAGTGTCTGGTGACCTTAGATGAACTGGTGGAAGTCTTGAAGAAGATCAAGAACATTGACACCAAGGACATGGCATCCGACCAGAAGTTGGAACACATCGCCCAGATGTTGGATGATGACCATGATGGACAGATCCGCTTGAATGAAGTGAATAAGGTAAGATTGGAGCTAATCTGACTACAACAATATTAGCCAACACCTCATGAAAGTCAGGAGGATTGGGAACATCTCAGTCCTGTTGATTTATGTGTATGGGCTAACATGGACCCTACTATTGTCTGTGAGAATTGTTTGTTACCTTGGAGTTGGACGCTGAGTTGACTAGTTTCCATAGTGACAAAGAATCCTGAGCTCCTATTGGTAGTTCTTGGAATGGGAATGGGCATGGTTAGAGGCTTAGAGCAGTACATCAATAGAATATCGGCAAAACAGTTTTCATTGGATGTTTGGTCAACGTTGCATCAGAATTTTGCCTGTTGCACACAATATCTTTTCAGACGTAACATTTTGAAACTACTGTTAGATTGTTAACCTTATATGCTCCAACACTACCTTATATGAGACCTTCTCGCAAAGTGCTATTCACAATACATTACGAGTATCGTGCAGTACGTTCTGCCGATGTGCTGGTTAGAGGCTGTCTCTCTGATGCACAATGGAAACACTCCACGGGATCCATGTTTGTTCCTGCAGGCGATACAGATGATCCTTGAGGAGGACGTTGACCTGACAGAGTCCCAGCTGAGGGAAGTGGTGAAGCTGCTCCATGCTGAGGAGGATCTTGAGGAGAAGGAGGACCAGGAGAGGGAGAGACTGGAGAAGGAGAAGGAGCTGTGGGATCAGCAGCAGCCTCGTGAGGAACAGAAGCAGAACTAGACACAGGACTGGCTGGCTGGCTGACAGTCAGGCTGGTCTGGAAGTAGCTGTGGCTAACTTGCTCCTTCACTCGGAAGTAGAGGACAATAAGTGCTGC